AGTGACAAATAAAAGCGACCAATTAACAAAGGGACGAAGTTTGCTGAAACGTCAACGTTTTGGTTTTAGGTGGGGATTGCATCAGGAGATGGGCCGTACAAGGAGGGAGTTCGAAGGGGGCAGTTCGGAATAGAGTTGAGGAATGTGATGACGGTCGACGCATTGGGCCTGCCACTTGAACCAGATGGGCTTCACTTGAACACTCCGGCCCAAGTTAAACTGGGCGGGCTTTTGGCTGATGCATATCGTCGATTTCCATCTCACCCACTCGCCAGCCCATTAAGAAACGCTGCTCCCTCGGTTTCCTCTGCTTTTAGTTTTGGTTTCGATGTTTTCGTATTTGGAATTTTGAGATTTGTGTTGCCACTGCCACGTGCGAGTGTTTTGTCATGACCACAAAGGACACAACTTTGGATGTAATTGGGATGGTGGAGTTATATATATTGTTCCATTTCTAATTATCGGAAACTTGTCCCACCAATTTGTGCAATAATCTACTTGTAAAAGCCAGCTAATTAAGTTTCTTCTGTGTGTTCTAAGTTCATGCATCTCAAAATTATTCTCTCCCTTCTGATCTTTTTAACACAAATTAACCCAACGAAAGACAAATCTGTTTTTATTCTATCAATTTTATTGTAAGATTTCAATTTCATCAAACTGAACTAGCTAAGTGTTACAATTCAATTTTGGCTAATTCACCAACTGATTTTAGCAAAAAAATATGGAAAAAAACTCATTCATTCTTTTGATGACATTTTAGTTTTTGCAACAAAATAAGTTTAATTAACGCACAAATTCAACCCACAAATAATTATGAGAAAACTCAAATTTAAATTAAAGAAATCAGTTTTAATACTGTTCTTTTCCTGAATCTTATCACTTTTATGCTACATAAATATATTTTTAGTAATTTTTCAAACGATAAAATTGAAATTATTATGTAAAAATGATTTATGCCTGGCTCACAATAAAAATTGATACTTCCCCTAAGTTTAATTGTGAATATATGTTGTCTAACCATCATTCTCCTATTAAAATCTTTTTACAATAAATGAGGAGGTGGGAGAATGATCAAGATGTTTTAATTCGATTTTTTCATTAAAAAGTACTTAATCATTATTYTTTTTATTAATTATCATTATTATTATTAATTTTTTTGTTTCGAGGTGTTACTACCACCGTATTCGTAGAGAAATTTTCCACAATTTTTTTTTTCGTGGAGGTTTCCAATAACAAATTTTCCTTCTTTTCTTTTTAAAATWTCAATATATATAGGCCCATGAATCCACACGACTGAGTTCTATATTCAAATATAGGTGCGGGACCCACAMTACAATGAATCAGCATACTTGCCGCCTTTTCGTTATTTAATTGAAATTCAATGAATGTCATGTTCCGTTATCTTCTCAAAGTTAAATTAGCTTGGGATTTTTAAGTATCTTTTTTCCTAAACGGTTAAACCTACCATTAGTATAGGGAAGAAGATACGATATATAAATTATTTTAATCAATTGAACATTACAACTTTTCAATAGAAATTATCTTATTCTTAATTTAATTCGATCAATTTTTTCTTTAAAAAGAAAAGGTTAGTTTTTAGAGTACTGGTTCAGTTAGAACTATTTGAAACTATTATCAAAAGTAGCTTTCACAACTAGTGACACTTTTAATTTTATCCTTCCCACCATCAACCAGTGGTATTTGACATTTTTAATTTAATCATTACCACTATTAAATATCTGACAAGAGAGAGAAATATAAAAATATATTTTTTACATTTTAAGTCGAAGACTTGTAACAAATGACGAATGCAATTAAGTCTTTAATTTTTTGAAAAACACAAAAAACATTATACTTACTCCGATGCTTGGTAAGAAAAACAGAGCAAAAATAAACTAAAGTTAAAGGGTTCGGGCCAAGGGCAATTTATTGCTGACACATTGGTCATCTATCGCATAGCACCCTCTGAATTTTAAAAATCCAGAAGATTATTTAGTTCAGCAGTTACACAGCACTAATTAAAAATTAACCCACAAACTTCGTTCCATAATTAAAAAAAAAAAAAAGCAAAAAAGAAAACTAACTATCGATTACCAAATTCCAACCTCCATAAAGCCAGCCTCCGTCGCGCATCCTCTGAACATTCCGGTGGTGTTGAATCCACAGGCCACTTCCCCATTGGATGAAACTGCGATGAGCCCTGCCTTGCCTTCGTCCAGTCGCTCCTCTACCACGTAGCTCACTGCCTCCTGCAGTCCCATCCCTTTGTACTCCATCACCGCCGCCACTTCCCTCGCCAGTGTTCCTCTTATGATCGCCTCCCCTTCTCCCGTACACGATACCCCGCACAACCCGCACGCGTACGTCCCTGCGCCGATCAGCGGCGAGTCCCCGATGCGGCCGCTCCGTTTGTTCATCAGCCCGCCGGTTGACGTGGCCGCCGCGCACCTTCCTTGGCTGTCCACCACCACGCACCCAACCGTCTCCGGCGCGTACACGCTGATTGGGAGGCCGTTCATTTGCAACGGCGTCTCCACGCTTGCGCTACACTTCTCTAATCCTGCGTTTGGGATCCTATAATCGAACTGTTCCAACCAACCCAACAATTAGAAAAAGGGGAAAAAAAAAGTCATTTGGCGTCCGCCTGCCCACGTGGTTCTTTTTCTCTCAATGAACGGTTACTGTTGCAGTTCAAATAAAATTCGTACCAGTATACTGTTGGCTTCTTTGGCTAGTTTAAGCATTCCCACGTTTTCTTCGGTGATGAAATAGTCATTGCACACCATCTCCACGCCCTGCACGATCCCCAGTCGAAAGTGTTAAAAAAGTCAGCCTTATTAATCGACGGGATTTCGGCAGTCTCAATGTTGAATAGGGAAAATTTGGGGAAACGAAACGAAACGAAACCTGTTGCCTGGCGAATTCCTCAGCGCCAGAGAAGGCGAGATAGGAATGTGGAGATTTGTCCATGACGAGGCGGGCGAGAGAGATGGGGTTTTTAACAGTGGTCAATCCGGACACCGCCCCGCATCTCCGTTTCGGGCCGTCCATGATGCTGGCTTCCATCTCCACGGTTCCATCCTCTGTCAGCGCAGATCCACGCCCCGAGTTGAACAGGGGATCCGATTCAAGTTCCCTAACCTTCGAAATCCGAAGAGAAAATTCGTAATGTCAAATTTGGAAATCAAACCTCCAAAAATTATGTAACTAATCATCGATATCGYCTCTCGGTGGGACCAAATCAATCGTGCATGCACGGAATCTTATTTCCAGAAGGATCAAAACAGTAATTGGGAGAGATTCGAGATTTTAGTATTAGGTTATGCATATGCATCGACAACAATACTAATAAAAGAAAGGCAGTGAAGAAAATGAAAAGATGAAGGCGGAGCGTACGACGAGTTCGACGACATCGATGGCAGGATGATCGGAACGAAGAGCATCGATGCCAAGATTAAGACAGCGAGCGAGGAGTTTTTTTGCTTCCTCTTGACGGTCGAGTGGGAGATTAGGGTCCACGCCGGCCCCTCCGTGAACCGCTATTGCCCAACCTGCCATCGCTCTCTGTCTCAAACCCTGGCTTTTTCTCAGTCTGTGTTTCCTTTGTGCCAGATGCAAACTAATGGGACAACTCCTTTATATAGCCTAATTTCTCCAACACCCTTTCCTTTTCCTTTTCCCAATACAAATCAATTTTAATTTCGATTCCGATTTCTTTTATGACATGGCCTCATATTTCCGCCACTTTCGGGTCTCAATTTACATACCAATTATATTTTTTATTTTTTATTTTTATTTCCTTCCTATTTATTTACCGTTACTAATTGCATTCAATGTTTTTCCGAATTTTATCTGCAACTTTATATATAACTCATTGAATGTCATGATTCTGATGATTAAAGCTTTTTTCTTTTAAACTTTTCTTGTATTTTTTAGTTACTTATAATTAATTTGAATTAATTTATAGAAATACAATATGGAACCAATCATGAACATTTCAATTTAGTGAATTTATTCAAAGCAAACCTAATCTGACCAGCGTAGATGTAGCCTAAGGTAAGGTTTTATTATTGTTATTATATTTTATATAAAGCAAACCTAACCCGAATCTTAAAAGATGCTTGATAAATATTGGACAAAAAATTTATCATTTATGTGAATTTTATTGTCTTCTCATATCTCTATTTTATACTCATTAAAGTCATATTTCGTCAAATTTATTATGTTTCCTCCCTGTTACAAATTTATTAAAGTTTTTTAACTTTTAAATTAGTTTTTTTAGGGATATTTTAAATTAGTTTATATGTTATACCCTAAATTCTTTTTTTTACATATTTAAAAGTTAAATTCATTGAACGAAGCATAGTTCAATGGGTAAGATATTCATGTCCGACCAATTAAGAAACTAAGAATAAAAAAAATGAAATTCAAACTTCGACAGGGAAATAGGGAAAGAAAACATTTTTTATATATACCAAATGATAAAACWTTTTTTCAATTCCATAACTTATTAAATTCCAATATTAATTAAAATTAAAATATAAAGTCTTTAAATKGTAGGAATTGAATCAACAAAAATTTTTAATATGCACTTTTCATATTTCATGCATTTATTATCGTTAATAATTAATTAATTAATTTAAGGTTTATTTATTCTTATGTAAGTACATAACTCAACGAGAAATTGGCTTACTTGTCGCATTTCTAATCACATGTTTAAAAATTTTAATAGTCACTTTTCATATTTCACGCATTTATTATCGTTAATAATTAATTAATTAATTTAAGGTTTATTTATTCTTATGGAAGTACATAACTCAACGAGAAATTTGCTTACTTGTCACATTTCTAATCACATGTTTAAAAATTTTAATAGGCACTTTTCATATTTCATGCATTTATTATCRTTAATAATTAATTAATTAATTTAAGGTTTATTTATTCTTATGTAAGTACATAACTCAACGAGAAATTGGCTTACTTGTCGCATTTCTAATCACATGTTTAAAAATTTTAATATGCACTTTTCATATTTCATGCATTTATTATCGTTAATAATTAATTAATTTAAGGTTAAGTACATAACTTAACCAGAAATTGGCTTACTTGTCCCATTTCTAATCACATGTTAACATTTTAATATGCACTTTTCATATTTCATGCATTTATTATCGTTAATAATTAATTAATTTAAGGTTTATTTATTTTTATGTAAGTATATAACTCAACGAGAAATTTGCTCACTTGTCCCATTTCTAATCACATGTTTATAAATTTAAATTTTGACAAAGAAAAGAACAGTCTACAAATTTTATTTTCAAATATGATAGCTTTTATTACATTGTAGATTATAGATATAGACAGCAACTTTCTAATACACCATTGATTATAGATATATTTTAAGTATATGTTCTTATATCATTAAATTGGTCTGATAGCTAAGAAATTTGTTAAATATGTAATTAAAATATTGACTAAATAGAGATTCTTCATTCTTRAGAAAAACTCAATTTGCTCTTTAATCATTCAAAACTTTTATTTAAAGAATTTCAATTAGATGATTCTACAAATAATTTGTTAGAAAAAAAAATTAATACAACATTAAATTATTATTTTATTAATATATTTAGACATGCACGAAGATATTTATTATCTAACACGTAAATCTCGAGTAAGACATCAATAAAATCCCATAAAAAATAATGTTATTTATGGGCACAATCAATTAGTCGTTCAGGACATACTAATTAGGGGAAGAAATATTAAAGAGCATCCGGAAAAGGTGCTATGGGAAAATAAAATCGAAGTGGGTCCCATGACATTCCAAGGACAATGGAAGATCGGAAATTGGGAAATTGGCATGATAAGATTTAGAACGATCGTTGGAATTCGGATGACTAAGAGATGACACATCTTTTCATATTCTGATTAGCAACTCCAATTCTTAAATCAATTAAAACCCTAATATTTAAATAATTCTTTTCTTATCCCTTCAAGTTTTAAATGTTTAGATAAGTTTCAAATTTAATTTAAATTGTGAGTTGGAATTAGACCCACATGTTTTCTTCTATATATTTTTTTCTTTGACAAAAAAGTTATTTATTGATTATTATTATTTTTAAAGTAAACATGTGAGATAGGATTCCATGGGCTGAACTAGCGACTAAATATACATAAAATCTTTTTTTTATTATTATTGGGAGTAAATAATTTAGACTCTATCGTTTGTAAATTTAAGTTACGCTCCATATTTTCTTTTATAAATTAAATTTATCAAAACATAACAAATATTTAATATTTAACTATTTAATTGGTAGATAATAGTTATTAATATCACTAATTCTTGATTTCTTTCTGGAGAGTAGGGATTTAAAACCTTTACGTCAGGGCAAGATACAATGGCAGACAAAGATGGGGGAGTGATAATATATATATTATTTTTCTTTACAGATGGAGTGATGATATATATACTATTTTTTTTACAGATGGAGTGATAAAATTAAAGATCAAAGATTTACATGGGAAATTGAAGCCTCTGCGTTTGCGTTAGTATTTTATACAATTTTTTTAGTACATTTAATACAAATTTTTTTGAGGCATATTTAATACAAGTTATTGAATGTTATTTATAACTTATACAGCTCGACTTTAAGATTTTGTCAAAAACAAGTATGGTTCACATATATTTCAGTCAAGAATTTATGAATTCGATCCCCACACCCACTTATTATACTAAAAAAAATAAAAAAAAGTATCTATACTCAGCCGTTCTCCTCTCCTCACCAACCAATTGGAGCTAATTTCTTTGATCAATCATGAGATTGATCAAATTTAAGCATTTCAGAGCATTTTTTCTCCTGCGAGATTTTGATAATTTCAGTATCAGTATTTTTTTACATTACCAGAAATTCTAATTTAGAGATTAATTTAGAGATTTTTGTTTTTGATGGCATTAATTTTGGAATTTTCATTTTCAGTTCGAATCTAATGTTTAATTTTTCTCTTTTTTTTCTTTTGAGTATAACAAGTGGGGTGGAGTATCGAACTCACGACCCAACGTTGAGTTATAGTTGCTTTGACTAATTTGAATTTTTCTCATTGTCTTTTAAGTCTAACTGGGACGGATGTCTCTTCAAATATAGCTCTATTTACATATTTTTTCTAATACAATTACTTGCTGTTCAAAAAAATCTCTCAACAAAATTATGTTTAAATGATTATTTATTTATAATAAATAATGTACTGAAATCATAAGAAACAAGGCTAGGAACGCCATATATCATGTAAAATACATAAACTATTATTTAATGTTTGTCTATGCTAAAAAAAAAAAAGATTATGTCACAAACAACATAGAATAATCATTTTCTTAACATAAACTTATGAATACCAAATTGAGTATAACTTTACAGTTAAAAGACAGTTAGCATGCTTGTTGAGGTTGAAGGTTAACCTTCAACCGTATTTATTGAAAAAAAAAATTAATGGTATTTTAACAAATTAATTGTTTTATCTGTATTTCAATTTCAACCCCACCTCAATTTGTTCTTTTCTAACTTAATTAATAGCAGCTTAAGAACACGATACTTTGTGTTGAGGAGAAATGTTTAGGCTCCACATGTGTCTGTAAGAGATCTAACGAGCCCTCTTCATCTACAGAGTTAAATATGCACAGTGCAGAGTGAGATGCYTAGTGCACTAGAAAGAGAAGACGAGTGCACCGTATGGATGCCCCGAATGTAGTTATAGGTACCAACAAATTCGTCCTGCAGGCATCCACCATAGTGTCAAGAGTGTATCCTGTAGACTCTATCTCACCGCTTTGCTTTAGCAAGAAAAAGATTCAAAATGTTGGGAGGGGCTGTCCATCCCGCTTCGCCTTTCTATCTCTAGTCTCATATATAAGGAAAAAGACAACCGTAATCAAGGTGAGCCGCATCTTCTCTGCACAACTCCTTGTGAAAATTCAGCACACATTCTCAAACATACTTTCATCCTTGAGATTACTACCTCGTACTCTTTCTACTTCATACCCATTTGCTTCCTATTTGAGTCCTGACTTAAACATTCGAAGTGCGTTAGCTAGAATATCCTACAATGATAGACTTATGTGTGAGTATCAAGGTTTCGAAGAAAATGGCATATGAGATAATTGTGAGGCACAAACCATGCCGTTAAATTATGCTGACAGGTTTGATAGGAAAATTGATGTACTTTCTGAAGTTGAAAAAGTAAAAATTGATTTCGCCCTTTATTTTATTGCAGAAAGCAAATGCGGTATGTGTAGAATCCTATTCAAAAAATAGCATATAATTTAAGATGAGTGTTTTTCACTGTCAGCAAAATTTTGACACTGCAAAGCACCACTTTGCAAAAGTATGGTATATAAATATATCTCACCACAGCACATCTTAATGGGAGATTATTTTCTTAAAACTAAATGTAATTATTTGATGCCCTTTCCATTCCATGTCACCGGCCTAAAACTTCTTAGCCATCACTTCTTCAGATATATATGCTGGATAATGATGTCGAACATGTCCTTATATCATCATTCACCAAACATATGTTATTCTTCCTTGAATTTAATTAAAAAAAATATACATACATAGTAATAAAGAGAAACAAAGAAATGGAAAAGAGAATATTATATTTCTAATGTGTAGACAATTAGGCAAAAGAAGATAATTTGAGCTAGAAAAAAAAAAAAAGTGAAATTGGGTAGGGGTCAATATCCAAGTGTGTCGTATTGGTATCGTATCTCCCCAAAGTAGAAGATTCCAAAAGAACGCCATATGTTTTGGTGCGGTTTCTTTCAAAGATTCTTCCATGCACGTGTTTTGTGAAGCTGTGCTTCCGGCCCAAAAGTAAACAAAATTGGGCCTTAAGCCCAAGCCTGGCCCAAGAACTGTTTTGTACGGAGCAGGTGCGCATTGATTTCCAAGCCCTTGTCTTTTGTTAGTTTGCAGTTTGGAATGTTGTAGCATGTCCGGGCCAGCTTGTGTACACCTCGACTATTCACAGACCAACCGCTTGACACTGCTACATTTAGTTGATAAGGAAATTCATAGGATATTAAACGCTAGGTGGTGGCCACCATAGTTTGAATTCATTCCCTCTAAGTCCTTTGTTATTTACACTAGCTTTCATTGACTATTTAAGYCATCCTATGATGGTTGACTCGTGAGTTTTGAGGTGTACCATCAACSAGCGSGAACATGATGAATGGGACTCCAAAATTTTGAAAGTGTTTGTTTTTTGGTCACACAAAAAACAATTACAAGTGATATTCATATAGAAAGGGAAGCAGAAGGAAAAGAGATCGTGGATTTTGGTAAGCGGTGAAATCTGGGGATCAGAGGGTTGTTGAATTATGAGACTCACGACGAATGTGCGATACTTTTTTTYGGGGCCCAAATGATTGTCAGGGCGCCCTAAGAAACTTCAATTTCCATTCTTTATATGGTCAGAGCAGAGAGTAAAAAGGCTTTTTTTTTATTCTTTTTTTTTCGGGCAATAGGGATGGGACGATGGGCCGCCTATAACGTTACGGAAAGGAGTTATGACTTTTCTTTACCAATTACCACTTGGCCATTAATTTTGAGGGGTTGAAGAATTCATAAAGTATACGTGTCCGAATCGGATGTAAAATTGTCACGAGGTAATCTATCAATCGACTTGTGGCATAGACCGATGCGGATTGAAATGGTGGCCAAAAGTTAAAATCTTCTTTAAGACGTCATTTACACGTAAACATATAGGATAGCTAGCATATTTATCTCAAAATCATATATCATTTTACACAATCAAATGATTTACACCAATAAAGCTCTATCTTTTATGAGAAATGGATTTTGTGCTTATTTACTAGATTTTTGTAACACAAGAAAAGAATAATTCACACATGACATTAGTTGGGTCTGTGTTTGAGATCGTAATATCTTACCAACTTCCTGTTTGTTTTTTTCTCTCTCTTTTGTTGCTGCTAACTTTTATTTGATATTGAAAACATAGGTATTGGGTAGGTCAAAAGTCAGGGCATTGATGATCTTAAAGGAGAGAGAGGCATGTCCAAAAGAGGAGAAGAAAGAAGATATTGGGTGGAACCAATTATACACACACTACTGATCTTTAGTTTGATATGTGTGTTGGGAAGATTCAATTGTGTCCATCTTTTCTTGAGAGATTGAAATTCTCTCTTACATCTTTATTGAGAAGAAGAAGAAGAAGAAGAAATTATCTCTTAGACAGAGACTAAAAGCAAAAAGACATTTGACCAAGCAAAATATTTCAGACAAAATCAATCCTCCCCCATCTTCATTTTTCTCCTTTTTGTGGGTTCAATTCATTTCTTTTCTTTTCCTTTTTCCTTTGATGAATTTGGTGGATCTAAATTATCTAATAACTGCATCTTATTAATTTATTAGATAGCATATATAATGACAAATGACGAGCCCACTAGTCACGGACCATACAAGGGAGTAGGAGAAGAGTAAGGAGAAGATTTATTATTGTTCGTTCAAGTTATTTGTTACTTTGAAGAAATTATAATAATAAGTGGCAATTTAATTACTGGGAAGAAATCAGCTGTGTACTTCGGACAAATTCACCAATAAAGCTAACATTTTCCAACATAGGCAAACCTAAAGTCCCCCCCTTTTGTCGGATCTATTTCGTGAAAAAACAATTTATTGAACAAAACACATTAAAAACGAAATATATATATATATATAGCAGGATATATCATAATGTCTTTATGAGAAAAAAAATATATTATTTATGAATATCCACTCAATAGAAGAATAGAAGATAGAGAGTGATAAGATATTCAATATGAAAGGGAGAGAAAAACAAAATAGATTTCTTCTTTTGTTCACCTTAAATACTTAACTGTCCAACTTTTGTTACATAATCTATTTGATTTAAAAATTGTCCAACTTTTGTGGAATTTCAAAAGAAACAATGGGCAACACATTTTTTGTTGCGAAAATTCAATAACCTCCTACATCTTTTTGTTTCTTTTTCTTCTTTTGGAGTACATTTTATTTTAAATCTGTTAAGAAACAAATACTTTAAAGATTATTTTCCATTTGTCCTTTTTTTTTAATTAATCTCAAATTGCAACCTAGAATCTAGAAACCAAACCTGAATGATCTGTTGAAGTAAATTTCTGAGAATAATATAGAAATTCTTTCATATCAACCTGATTTATTTTTTAGGTTAATCATATCAACATAATTTAAAAGAACAAATATAAAATGTACAAAATAAAATAATATTAACGAAGAGAGTATTAGAACCTTTTCCGGCCTTTTGCTGGCAGCATATTCATTCATTTTGTTCGTCTTTTTTCTTACCTTTATTTAATTGACTTCTACATTTTTTTTCAATTTACTTTCAATTTAATAACTTTTTGCCGTCAGCGGGTCGTCTTCTCTCACATTAGTCAATTATATCAATTAACTAATTTGAACTTCAAATTTGAAACATAATATAACAGGAAAGACAACATTAATTCGCCAATTTGACTTGATAATATAAGAAATTATATATTAATTATTAAACGTACACTTTTGGCGTACGAGAAAAACAAAAAGTACAGAGCTAGATATAGGCTAATTAAATGAAGCGAAGGAATGCTGGAAAAAATCTGCAGCTGTCGTAAAATTGATTGTCTACCGTGGCTGTTCATCAACCTTACTCTTCTTAGTTGCTGCCTCCGGCGAGTCGACATTCCGATTCCGACCGTTTGAGACACACGACATGTCGATTGAACCAAATCTTCGTTTCTTAAATTCAAATTCGTTTATGTGTCCTCTGGATGCTTCCGTGATGAACCGCGAGCAATCCTCTACCTTATCCTACCCGAAACAAAACAGACCAGAGCAAGACAAAAACATGAGTTTCCTTTAGCAGCGCCAAGAAATTGGTCAATTTGTTTGGGAAAAGGAAAAAAGATTGAAACCTTGTCGACTTGAAGAAAACCCAGAAGCTGGTCGTGGTATTTAACGGCGACGCAGGGTTCTACGTCGTTGATAACTCGAAGCATAATGGCGCTTGCCATTACCGATGGAAGAAAACATACGAATCTAGAATCTGGAAATTAATTAAGAGCAAGAGAAAGAAACGTCAATTAGAGAAAATAATGTGATAGAACTTACAAGTGAAGTTTTGGTATTAATTATAACGTCTTCATATGGCTCACCTAAAATGACAGAGAGAAGTAATCGCTCACATCTACAGAGAAATTCTGAACAGAGCTGGTCCTTCAAACCGAGCCGTCTTACAATATAATCAAGAAAGGAAAGTGGGTTCACCGGATTCATTCTCCAAAGAAGCGTAGAGAGAACAAGAATCTCCATTCTTTTAATCGTCTTCGCTTCGAAAAAGTACTCATTTTCCTCAACCTACAAAAACAAGAAAAAAAATCCCAATTTCAATCAAAGAGGAGGTGGGTTTAACTAATTAAATGTGATAATGTGGCATTCTTTGGAATTTACCTGAAGGTCTAAGAGAAGGGGAACTTGGGTTTCCTCCACCTTGGCGGCAAGAGATAAACAAGCAATTGCGGTGAGATGGGTCATCCAGGGCTTGCCAATCTGAAAGTGGGGGCTGGACAGAAATCTGTCGACATAATCAACGGCTAAAACGGCGGTGAGGGCAGTGAAAGAGTAGTGGGCATTAACCTTTAGTATCCAGTCCACAGCCTTGGCTCGAGCCGCGGCAAGAAGGGGATTTTGTGGGAGAGTGTTGTGGARCTTATTTTTGGTCTCCTTTGAGAACAGAGAGACCAGCTCCTCGTCCTCCCAGAGAAAGTCCCTCTCCGACAAAACGACGGAGTTTGGGGAGTGGATATTAACATTTAATACTGAGTTAGCTTCGTGCTTGGGTTCCTCCTCCCACTGCTCTTCCAAGCAGTACAGGGAATCAAGAAGAATTGAGGAAGAGTTTTGATACCCTGAAGAAATCGAGTGTGCAATTGAAATTGGATAACAATGCCGTTTTGCCATCCTATAGTTTCTCATTTCCTCTCATTGTTTTTTAATGTTGCTAGCTAGAAGATGGAATTTTGAGTGGAAAAAGCAGGCTGAGGCTGAACGAAAGAGGTGGTGGCTGTGGCTGTGGCTGAAGACTGAAGACTGAAGGTTTTATTTGCAGATGATATGCATATGCTTCTGTATTGGGAGCCTCTCGTGCTTATAATCAGCAGACATAAAAACATGGGCCATGCAACATAATCAGTCGACACGTGACACTCGTACAATGTACTTGTGGGCCACAAGGGACAGCCGAACCGGTCGATTAACCCCGAATCATGAAGCCTCAACCGTCCGATCAAACCGATAATAATCTGACCATACAGAGAGCAGAGAAGTTGAAGTGAAGTGAACCCACCTCATCAGTCACCTGAGTACAAATTATCTAACTTAACACTAATTAATGCTAAGCTTAAGCACACAGGTCTACGAGGCTTAAGTTGCAATGGTCCCAATCTGCCGTAGTTGCTAAATGGCTTGGACTTGTTTGCAACTTTGGGTTTGGATACTTTTTTCTTTTCCTTTTTCTCTCTTTAATTTCCCTCTCCCCTTCAAATCCAGCTTTCGAGTTTCTGCTTAAGCCAAAGCATGGCTAAAGCGAAAAAGGAGTTGAAATCACGGGTCCTTCGTTTTTTCCTCCTCTTTTGTCAATGAGAGTACAAAAATGGATGAATTTGAATGGACCGCTTTAAAAACACGACAGTTTTCTTTTGCAGAATTAYTTATAGCATTTGAACCTTGGCCTCCCCACACCACGTCCAGCACTTTTCACCTGCACATTTTGAGGCTATCGACTACTAATTTTGCATTAGTCAAACTTCTCCTAAACCCCAAACGGATTCTAAAAGCTAAGCTAATGGGCTTCCGACTTCGTTTACTTTTTTCACTCAACATTTTTGGGAATTGGTATTGGCAAATTTTGTGGTATTAAATAGGGGCAATGTCAGCGGAGGGCCATGTCCCTTTTTGCTAAAAATGCTGTGTCTGTGCATTAGAGAGAAAGATTAGTGAGCGGACAAAAAGGGAAGTGTGAGCAGGTAGGACAGCATCAATGAAGGCCGAGGGAGGGGGCAGTCCCACCAAAACGACTTACAGAAGTCAGAAGTCAGAAACCCAATTTCGAAACTTCAACAGGGAATTTTGCCATTGTTTTCTGTACAGACAACCTTCAAAGCCTCTGCCCTAGCTACACCCCTTTATTGCCTTTTTCTTTCTTTTCCTTCTTCCCACCATTATTTTTCAACTTCACCTTCCCCAGCAACATAAAGAGTAAGAGAGAGACAATTCGCTTCATCATTGTGGCTAAAGCTAAAGATTAGCGAATTCATCCCCACTCAGAAAAGGGGAAAAAAGGGTAAATTTAAAAAGTCTCCTAATTTTGAACTAGGGTAGGAATGGAACCCCCGCACTGTTAATCTGATTGGACCTGTCTAAATAATGGAAGACATTTATGAGGGTTGGTGTTTTGGCAAAGACAATGGGTTCATTATAATTCACGAGCCTAAGCTGTGCTCAAATCATGCAACCACGATTACTGATGATGGTGCAAGTGTGGAGGACCATGGATTTTTCTTCTTCCAGTTGGTTTTGTATGGGGTCGGGTCGGGTCAGATCAAATTTTAAATGGCACATCCCTAATCATCACGTTCGCACGACCTAATTTGATCGTAGGTTACCTAATACAAGACGATTTTGAATTTTGAATTTTTATTCAAATAGTGGGAGCAACAGGTGCCTCTACTGCCTTGTGATTTTGCTTTACCTTCGTCCAAAAGATCTCATACTATTGGAGAAGTTATCCTTCACTTCCTATACTCACGACTTCCACCTCGTATAAACAAACACGGACTAAAACCCCACCTACAAAAACCTTCTAGAAATAGAAATGTCATATGTATAAATTATATATGAGAGTCTAGATCAACTTGCACGCATTTTGACTAATATCACGAGACAATTATCTAAACAGGTGGTCGAACAAAAAATAAATAAATTTTTAATTCCAAATAGGTGGCCACTATATATCCTAGATCTTTGATATAACTATATTTGGATCTCAAACATATTATTTAAAACATAAGTTCATAAATTCATAAAAGTTGTTTTTGGTCCATAGATCGGTTATTTCTAAACATTAGTATGAAGCTTGCAAGATTGAATTCAAAAGTTTCAATTTATGCCGGCATAAACTCAACTAAATGCATGGCTCCATTTTCCAACCTAGACTATTTGAACTTTACCCCGGAGTCAGCGCCCTCCAAAAATTCCCAATCTCAACACCCTGCAACTCCACTCCACCAATCATGGTTGCTCTTCACAACATTGAGGTGTTTTCAGAAGGGATACAGTTTTGGTATTAACTAGCAACTCATAAGCAACATGTTAATGCTCAAACCTTGTGTCATTTTCAAACTTAAGACATCGGTTGTACGCTTTCTGCAGCAAAAGCGAGAAAGAGAATAAAAAAAGAAGGAAAATGGTGTAAGTGAAATGGCGGTGAATGCTTTTGACTGTAGGATTGAAAAAGGGGAGAGAGAACCAGAAAAGAAATCACACATCTACTAAAACAAGCACATGCAGGAGAGATAGAGAGATACTCACACCACTGCTTTACCACCGTTTTGACGAATGAAGACCTTGAAAGAGCTCAGTGATTCATTAGGCAGCTGCCGCTCGGCTCTTTTGACTTGACCTGTTGCAATTATCAGCTTGACTGTGAAAGGGACCACCCTGATCCCTGCTTTCCTCAGATCCAAATCCAATCGCTTACATAACATCATGACACCATTACACAAAATCATGCACTTCAATCCTTTTCCTTTGAACCTTCATTGGCTAACCCCACGAGGCCGCTTTTATGCCTTCATTTTCCCACCGCCAACATCATCCGCCTTACGCTTACAAATGTATCTTTTTTACCCATCACAGTTCCTGATATTATAGCTGGAATCATCAACTCTTCAACCTCCCTCATGCATCTGAGATTTTGATTATTTCTCTACTTTTTTGATGGTTCATCATGAACCTAAGAACATGCGTAATCTGATCTAGGCTTTTAGCACATGGTAGGGATTGTAGAGAACAAACTAAAAGGAATAAATTTTATCTAATCTAGTACCTTCCTTTTCACATTATCTGTCTGAATAGACAAAATATATGTCCTGGTGACTCGACTATACATTGATCTTATCAATAACCACAGGCAAGAAATAGCTGCAAGTCAATGAAGTGAAGTTCATTTCAATGATTATCGATTGTTATCAGTTTCAAAAATTGTGCGGTGCCTGTCCAGGATATGATATCCACTGCATTGACAATCTATACATCTTGCCTTCATGTAGGTCACCAACCATAAATAACTCATCTAATCAGTCATACATTACTCTTAATAAAAAGAAAACCATATCCACAACTCAGCATCCAGGCTCAAAYTCATCAACTGCCACGTTTGAAATGTTCCCGGATAAACCGCTCTGCATATGATGGATACTTATTTCGGATATATGCCCGAAGACACTTTTGATACGAGAAGTCAATCCATCCACCATCAGTCCTTATAACAAAGAGGCATCTTGAGTGCCGAAATTGGGGATGCCGATCGACCTTCAACAGCAGAAAATAGCTTACATTATTTAAAAGGTAAAAAATGATGATTTTGGGCTGGGTTAACATCAAATAACTCTAACAAACAAAATATTAGCAAGCTTCTGCACGTCTTAAAATGAGAGGTGGGTGGGAAAGGGAAAAAAGAACAGGATAGATAAAATTGTATGGGTAGACAACGAAGGTAAAGTGTCATTTTAAAAAAAAAAAGGAAAATTGGTATCTTGCAACTTTCAATTTTTTTATATTTTTATTTTGAAAATGGAATATATGTTAAACCAGGGAGCCTGGCCAACAGACAGAAATGTCCTCAATCCAAAGAAGAGAAGACAACCAACAAAAAGAGCCAAGGTAAGGTGAGGACTGCCAAAGCAAGGCCATGAGCCACAAAGTTACTCTATATAATGCAAGGTATTGTCCTCATGTAGCAACCTAGCTCAAATGTGGTCCAAGATCATAGTTGAGCAACATAAAAACACAGCCAGACTCCAGCAAGCTACTTTTGCAACACCAGCATATTTGTTCTGTTCCAGCAAAATAAACTTGTGACCATTGAACATGCTTTATAACTGTGTTATATCTCTACTGTACGAACTTCAGCGGAAGAGCATGATAGCCAACAGAAATCTTCAATGTACAAGCAAGCACAACATAGCATAAAAAGTCTTAATCAGACAAGCTTCAATATTAGTTCGGTATGAGTTGCTCTTAGTATGATATTGCATGATGAATTCCAGCACACTTCAAATTTGCCCCTTACTGGGAAAGAGTTGGGTGTGAATTGGAGGCCATTACTTGACCTGCACGGGCAGAAACTTGAGAAGGTGCGCTACAAATGTTCTTAGGGCCAAATTAGTCATTAGCTGGGAAGTTTGTTAGAGCAATAGTTATAATGGGAGTTGGAGGATAGAGGGAGGCAAGTATTATGATAAAGATTCTGATGTGGAGCGTGAGCCAGAAGCTTCTGCCAATCCCTACCATTTATTTTTGTCATTTTACTTGGTCACCCCAGCACTTATTTTACAATTTCATCCTTTTATCTTTACGCTCCATGTAGCAAATGATTGGTAGGGCAACTTTCGGAATTAATTAATTTATCCTTTGTAATTTGYGCTGGAATTGTTAACCAAAACTAGTTTGGAATTGCAGAAATTATTGACTTAAAATGAGAGGTGTTGGATTCCAAGTGGCTTGGAGTTGAAAGAATTAAGGGAGGGATCTCAAGTTTCTTCCCCAACTCTGTAATCCTTTTTCATCTCAATGCTAATATCAGCTGCTAAAATGCCTAGACTTCAAGTAAAGATACATGAGATTTTCCTACCCAAAAAAGAAAAGAAAGGAAAAGGATGAAGAATAAGCTACTTTCCAAGGTCCATCTCGCCTACGGGGGTGAATTTGTTAGAAATTAATTCTGGTATGGGCTTTACAGATTAGGCAAGAGGTCACAAATTGCATTTTGAGATTTTGAAAATATCTATATACCAAATGTCATTTGTTTCTTTATCTGACTTTACTTCTATACAACCAAACAAAAAAAAACTTGCAAACTGCATATTTGAAACTTGATTGACCAGCTGAAGTAATGTAAGACAATATGACACAGTAAGAACTCTGAACCATTCAATGCACATTAAATAATACCATGATGGATTCAAGTCCACATCCAATTTTGTCTTCGGCATGTGGATGATGAGCAAGAAGCCTGTTAACCACAATTCTCTCGTCCACAGATGTCAATCGCTCTCCATCCACATACCTAGTAAAAAAATAACAAGAATGAGCTAGAAAGTTGAATATATCCACACTCAAAAATGCTCAAAGAGAAGCATAAGATTACAAGCACGACAGTAAGATCCCAAATCCACAATTTCAAAATTTCAGTTACAAGCACGTAGCTGACCACAAACGCATAATGGAGAAGTATGCTCCTCTGATGGAATGAATTAAACTCAAAGTCACTCCATGTTCTTTGCTGAGGCCAAATATCAGTCAGATACCAAATCCACAAAGAAAACTAAGAAAGGTCGTATGTAACACACTGGCGTTAATCCTAACTCCCATGTTCATTTTTCTTTCTACTATAGTATATTTAGAAGCATATCCGTAGTTGCTGTTGTTGCAGGAAAGTTTCAACATATAGGGTCACATATGTAAATATCAAATTCATTATGCTATTTATCAAGTGATCCAATTAAAGTGATCTAGCTGAGAGTTGCATTACGAAAGTAATTATCATATTGTCATGAAAAAAATACTGGATACCATTCAAAATTTCTAACTACGTTTTGACTTAAAACATGTTCTTATATGTCTGTCTGTGAAATTTAACAAAAAGCGTTATCCCCATTGAACAGAAAAACCTACCCCTTTGAAACACATAGTGCCTATGATATAAAGTATAAACATTCCGGGTGAAATTGGGAGGATAATACAAACCTATTTGAGTGGAGGATCTCTTTTGTGAGGGATATGATAGGCTCGATGTCGTTGAGCATTTCCTCTTCCTGGTCCTTCCACTTCCGATAATCAGGCTCATCCCACCTTGAGTACTTGGGTGGGTCACTGGAACTCAAAACTGAGGTAATATTTTCAGCAGATGTTAAGTTGCCGTCTGGTGGAGTAGGCGCCGCCGTCGCAGTACAGCAAGACCGGCGAGTCACCTGTACGATTCCAGTGCATAGACCGCGGTGTCTGAGCCCCAACCGAAGAAGAGGATGCCCCCGGAGTAGCAAAGAAGCAGCCATGAGGATCAAATGTTCATGTGGAGAGCGAGCTCAATGCTGAGCAACACGAAGCTGCTGCATTTCGTCTCTTGGGATGATGATACAGCTCTGCTTGACGAATGGATTATTGGGCTTTATGGGCCGAAAGCATTGGGCCCSATGGGACTGTAGAAGCAATCAAATTCCTCGTGATTGTGGATGGGCCCAACGTTGAAACCTCCGTTGGGCCCATTTTCACATTACCAAACGAATAGATAACTAGACCACCGCCCTTGCTGTCTTTTTTTTGAAATTTTGATTTTGCAGATTTCTCGTGTGTTTTTGCTTTTCCAATAATTTTCCAACTCGTTCATTTTTCTATATTTGACAAAATTTCATTTTTAAATACGGCAAATCCGGCTGTTGATGATGAGGACGGAAATTGCTTTGGAAAGTTATTACTTTAATAATCATCTTTTGTATCTTTTCCACGTGGATCTTTTTCTTTTTCAAACGCTGGTATGCTGGCTATTTTTGAAAAGAGAAGGAAATAATCTACATTATTATTAAAGATAATTCGTATAAATTTGAAGAATTCGAAAAAAAGAAAAAGAAAAAGAAGAAGGGCACTAGTTTTTTCTTGAAAAAAAAAAAAAGAGAGGCGAAGGAGAGGGAGAGCGAAGGAGAGAGAGGGAGGGAGGGTATGAGTCCACGAAGACCACGTGAGGTCGTCCGCTCCGCATTCTATCTCACAGTGGAGGTGACTATTCTATTCAAAAAAGTTTGTAAAAGAAAACAAAATAAAAGAAACTTTTCCAAAAGCCAATTGGAATTTATTTTCAGGTCCGTCATCTCGTTCCTCTCTCTCTCTCTCTCTCTCTCTCTCTCTCCAGAGAACGGGAATCAACGGAAGTAGAAGAACAGCGTCCGAGACCCTCAACCTACTCCGCCGTGCCGCCTCCGCATGATCGGTAATATTCCAAGGGCTCAACCCGAGATTGTTCCTTCTTCAACTCGCCCTGAATGGGCCAATCAGCTTCGTCGGCTGCGATTCTTAGCCGCCGCGATAGCAATCACAGTCATCGATCTAAGATCAAATCAACGGCCTTGATCTCCCCTATGCACCTCGATGAAACCGATGAATTTCAGGAAATCATTCATGGAGCCTCCGACTTTATTTCGGATCTTCCAGATGAGTGCTTGGCTTGCATTTTCCAATCCCTCAGCTCCGTCGACCGGAAGGGCTGCTCTCTCGTATGCCGGCGTTGGCTCAAAGTTGAGGGGCAAAGTCGTCACCGTCTCTCCCTTAAAGCAGAAGCGGATCTTTCCCCCATGATACCGTCCCTATTTACTCGATTCGATGCCGTTACCAAGCTTGCTTTGAAGTGTGACCGTAGATCTACAAGTGTCGGAGACGACGCGCTTATTCTCATCTCCCTTCGGTGCCGTAACTTGACTCGTCTCAAGCTTCGTGCGTGCCGTGAATTGACCGATGTCGGTATGGCTGCTTTTGCCAAGAACTGCAAGGGTTTGAAAAAACTATCGTGCGGATCTTGCACATTTGGAGCCAAGGGAATGAACGCAATTCTTGATAATTGTTCAGCCCTCGAAGAATTATCAGTGAAGCGACTTCGTGGTATTACTGACTCGGCTGCTGAGCCGATTGGGCCTGGCGTTGCTGGGTCGTCTCTCAAAACTATTTGCTTAAAAGATCTTTACAATGCACAGTCTTTTGGACCGCTTGTAGTCGGGGCGAAAATTCTGAGGACTTTGAAACTCTTCCGTTGCTCAGGTGATTGGGATGCGTTACTCAGAGTTATAGCAGACCGAGTGACAAGTCTTGTTGAAGTCCATCTCGAGAGGCTTCAGGTAAGTGATGTAGGTCTCTCTGCCATCTCGAATTGCTTGGATCTGGAAATTCTGCACCTCGTTAAAACCCCCGAGTGTACCAATCTGGGCATTGTAGCTGTAGCAGAACGGTGCAAGCTCTTGAGGAAGCTGCACATTGATGGATGGAAGGCTAATAGGATCGGCGATGAGGGTTTAGTAGCAGTTGCCAAAAATTGCTCTAACCTCCAGGAACTGGTTCTCATCGGAGTAAATCCCACGAAGGTAAGCCTGGAAATGTTGGCATCGAATTGCCGAAATTTAGAGCGGTTGGCATTGTGCGGAAGCGACACGGTTGGTGATAACGAAATCTCATGCATTGCCGCAAAATGCATTGCACTGAAAAAACTTTGCATTAAGAGTTGTCCTGTTTCGGATCAAGGTATGGAAGCGCTTGCTGAAGGGTGCCCAAATTTGGTGAAAGTGAAGGTTAAGAAATGTCGAGGTGTAACTCCTGAAGGTGCAGATTCGTTGAGGTTAAGTAGGGGATCGCTTGCAGTGAATTTAGACAGTGGTGAACCTGAACATCCGGATATAAGTGCAAGTGATGGCGGGATTCAGGATAATGTTGTTGATTTTCCCCCAATTCCAAGTCAAGTTCCGCCTCCCATGATTGCATCAAGTAGTACTGGGCGATCTTCGTTTCTAAAGACAAGGTTAGGCCTTTTGGCGGGGAGGGGTTTAGTTGCTTGTACACGGAGAAGGTGGTCAGGTGGTAATAGCAGTTCTGGTATTAATAATTAGACATCAGGAACGAAGCAAGTTTCAAAACGTAAATGCTTCTGGTCTTGTTCTTTTGCATTGTTTTTCTGGTTGTGTTGCCTTGATTCCGTGTTTAGTGTATTTAATTTAATGCTGTGTGCTCTGCTTATTGCTCGTCTTGGAATCAAATATTCATGCTCCTCGCCTTCTTCTTATAATGTGGAATCTTTGCGTCTGATAGATGTCTAGTGCATGAGTGTACTAATTCACGTCCASTACTTTGACAAGTGTTGAGAATATCTGGTGTAATTGATAGACACTCCTGTATCTATGTATCCGACTCCAAACCATTACGGCCAGTGGCGCACCTAGAAGGTATAGATTATTTTGATCAAATCTCAATGCCACATTGCACCCAGAAAACTTAGTTCTATTTGCATTCCTAACATCTTTTAATGTTAGAACAATGCCCCTAGTGAGGAGTACCTCTATTTGATTACCATTTGACCATGAGCATAATCTTCATTTCTTTGATTAACCATTTTCCGTAACATAACTTGGTTATGTGCACGGTATTCACTATCTTTTCTCACCGAGCTGTGCCCATGTCCAGTTACCCTCATGTGGTTGTGAAGAGCTTTGGTGTGCTTGTTTCAGTATACTAGACATATCACCGTTTTCCAACTAGTGAAACAATCACTCTGTTGGATGTTTCGTTTGGAATCTAGAAGAACTACTTGCTTTATTATCTTCTTTGAACCGGCCAGCTCATGGTCGATCCATAACCGGGGCTGGCATGGCGTCTTTGTGAAGTCTAGCAACATGTTGTTGATGCGTATATACCATAATCGGTTACTTATCATGGAGAAACAAAAAAGAAGGTTGCCTTTTTCCATATTCAAATGTTTGATCCATGTACTGATCTCCATCTGATTCTGGTCATCATTAACACTTRTGAGAAACACCGCGGAAGTTTTGGACAAGACTATGTAATGGAGGAAAAGGTAGCTTACAGCTTGATTTGCTTTGCTTTATGATCCATGGAGATTTGTTATCGGTTTCAGTGGAAGTTTGACAGGGGACCCCTCCTCATTTGTTCACCGGAAGATCGTGGCTTCCTCAATTCTGCTGGTGAAGGTATCGTTGACTTGAATCATGTATTTACTTTATCTGGATGTCTATGAAGTTGTACCTAACGGAAAATTGTCGTCTGCCGAATCTGCCTGAAATTACTTGGTGGGAAGTTTACATATCATCTTGTTTTTGTTGGTCTTACTTTTATTATTGTTCCCCTTGTTAATTGAATTTTCAATACACTAAGTTATTGTTAAGTTTCTTTGGATCTGTTCGTTTTATGAACAATACCGCATTAAAAAAGCCCTTCTCCCGCATTTATGGGAGTATTTTAATGCATTTGACCCGCAGAGTTGCAGTATCCTGGCCTTCAAGTATTTTCGCAGTGGTCAAACATTGCAGCCCCGTTTGCTTGTTTTTTAAGACAATTTGATGTAATTTGCAACATAAATATAAGAGAGACGGGGTGAGGCCGTCAAGCCCATTAATATTTGCTTGAATTGCAACTGGTGGTTGTCCCCTCCACTAGGAGCAAAAATTTATATGCGGTGGTTGGATTGGATCTCATTGGTGCAGTAACATTTGTGGAGATCTTAGTCTGATAATTGTATGAATCTTTTTCACAGTGCAATATCGTTGTAGTTTCAAGAAATGGTTTTAGGACATATTGGACTGGTCTTGTTCGTTGTTTTATAAAATCATGATTCCGTTTCAGACTGGAAGGAGCATCTAATGGTAAACTAACTGTAGAATTCACTTTTGTCTTTGTATTAATATTTTGTAGGGTGTTGTCTGTTCTAGCAGATTACCTTGGTCCGTGTAACAATTAACACTACAATAATGTCTATACAACAACTAACAATTCTGCCGGCTGCATTGGAGCGTATCATGGGCAAGGGGGAAAGTGCAGACATGACACGATGGGAAACAAGTGAACACCACATATTTGATACCCTTATCAGTTCCACCAGCAATTAAATCTTTGTAMGTGAAGTGAGTATTGAGAAATGTTTATTAAGTGGCTCCCTAGAAAATACTAACATGTTTACATCTGTGTCATTTTGTAACAGCTGCGAATAGGACAACTGAAAACTAAATTAATTACTGTGTAACAGCACAATCAACTTATCAATGGCATTAATGAGAGTCACCCTTTTCAAAATCATAAGTAAATCGACTAAAAGTCGTCACTTTTGAGCTTTACATCACAATTGAATCAATGCCCATCACAGTATTTAATTCAAAACCAATATGAGAGCTGAAACATTTTGCATTCCACACAGCGCCAGCGCGGTGGAGGCGGGTAAACATCAGACGAGGGGCCTGTGGAAGTTGAATCAGCCAATCCAAGCTCTGGATTGAATCATTTGACAGCGGATGATAAGAAATTTAACTGTAACTGGTCGTGCTTGAACATAATTTGGGTGCTCCGATACCCTGTGTTGGTCTTCGACAAAGCGACGTGTATGACTTACGAGACGAAATGTGATGGAAGGTGGGAGGAAGAACCATATAAAATTTCTATGACAAAGTTAGAGCTAATTAAATAATCTAATTTTTTAAATGATAACCTTCATTTGGCTGGAAATTTCTGACAAGGTTCCACGTAGTACTACTACTGTGTTCAATTTTTATAACAAAGTATATTTTGATAGTTAGCATTATTTTTATCATCTTTTAAAATTATTTGTATATCATTATCAATCATTATACTTTTAAATAGAATCACTTTTGGCAATGATAATGGCCAATATTACATTTATGTTTAACAAAATATAAATTTAAAAATGACAATGTCAAAATCAAAATATTAGAGATTCAAATCATCATTGCATGTTGTTGAACTCTAAAAATGAAAGAAAAAATAAATGAATATAATTCACCCATAAACAACATGTACTCATTCTAACGTTACTAGTAATAAAAAAAAATCCTTTGAAAATATCTTTTATAATATTAATTGGAAAATGTTTGAAAAATTTTTCCTTTTGACTTTTGAGTTTTTTCTTGGGCCTGGGCTTCAAAATACCATCTCCCCTCTTTTGAGCTTGGGCAAATATAGCCCTGCCCAGGTATTATTTCCCAACTTTTTTTTTTTATAATTTTGAGAACATTAAATATGATCCATTGAGACCTGGTCTTTCTCCATATTCTTTTTGCTTCGACCGCATTCGTTTTTCTAAAATTATTAGGGACGAGGAGTAGATTTGAGCCAACTTTTGATCAATCAATTCAACCAATATGTTAGTATTTCGTCSACAGATGTTTACAAAATTGAAAATTTATACGGTTGGCTGCCAAACTCATTATTTTATCCTTCACCAGACTTTTGATAGATTTGAAGCTATGAAATCCAACTTCTGTTTCTGCAAAATTGCAAATTTCTTAACTCTACACAAACCCAAAAACTAGCTAAATCGAGCCAAACATAAAACATTTGGATCAAAATCTAATTCAGTGGCCTGTTCTATTCGCTGCTCAAAGCTTTTACTCGCACTCTATCTTCGAAGTTCGAACATGATTGCTTAACTACTGTTCCGAGTGTAATTCGTAGATTTTAGGATCCCAAAAGCATCGGTTCAGCTTCAGTCGCATTTCTATGTGAAGAAGTGATAAAATGGCATCGGAGTTGTCATCGGCGGCTGGGCTTAACCTAATTGCACGGAAGGTGGTTGTTATAATGTCAAATCCAAAGAGGTGGAGAATGGTGGTAGAGGGCCAAGCCACGGGTCAAGAAAATTAGTATGATTGGAGAAAACATAGACTGCCTTCTTTGCCCAAATTACTGTAGCTGTCGACGTATATTTACCTGCTTCAGTAATGGGAGGCATCTTCCCAACATTGTGTTTCTTCCGCCAGAACCAATAGCCCCATCTAATGCTATTATGCACGCTCTGAAAGTGATAATAAAGGTGCAATAAGACATTACCCTTTATTACATTTGGTACTGTTAGCTTAGCATTTATGTGGCTGCGTTGAGGTTCAACGATTGCAAATATGATGATAGATCTCAAGGACCTGTATGGGCAATTTATTGCAGCTTTGGATATTGGGTGGGTGAGAATAGAGATTGTCTTTGGTTACTCGTATTGAATGGACAAAAGATCTTTTCCCCTCTCCCATTTGGCTTGGCGGGTCCATGTTCTTTACACTGTTGTAGCATCGTTAAAACCCATTTAGATTCAGATTAGTTATAGATTACTTATTTCAGCCATCTTCGTTTGTACAGTGCAGGATAGGGTGTCCGGAAAAAGGTGAAGGGGACCTATTATGAAAGTGCATGGTGCTCCTTCCCCCTCTTAAATTCGTGGTGGACCAGTATCTAATTCTCATTTCTTTATGTCTTTCTTTGGTGTTTACTGTGCTTGATGTATAAACTATCAGCATGCTTAATTGGCTGTCTGATAATCAGCTATCACTAACCTTTGTCGTTTGACGAAAACATGTATCAGTTAGAACAACTATTAATTGGGCATTTTATTACTTGCTGCCGAATATTGGTACGGATGCAGTATGCTTATTAGTTACGGTTAAGTCCTTTCTACCTTAATTATCCTTGAACATAATGGTGGACTGACAAATTTTCTTGAAGAATTATCATTTTCCATTCATCTATTTCTATACTGGGAAAGAAGGGTACTTAACTAGACACTCTTAGCCATTGCAGACCCAGCCAACTTAGCAAGAAACAATAATTGTTGCAGGGCTAAGGTTGCCGATGGATATATATTATGCCAGCTAAGCGATGTTGACAAGAGAAGAAGTTTTACCCCTCGCAAAAGATCCTTCTATAATAATTTTCTAACCCCAACATTTTAGGAAAAGTTTTCTCCGACTCTATGCTATTCCTATATGTCTCCTTCAGGATCTACTGAGTGTTTATGAGAATTTATCAAACATGTAAGGAGTTAGCTGATCGTGAAAGATTCAACTTCATCCCTTCTTGCAGGAAATTTAGCAGGCGGGTTTTCTTTTGATACCATGGATTGCTTCTGTCAAAGCAAATGAAGCATGAGACTTGAGAGAGTGGGAAGACCAAAGCTGTCTTGTATGGTGGGCCGACATAAGGACAAAGTTTGGTGCAATTTGAATCCAATGGAGCTTTCAACCTTTTTGAGGACCACATCAACTACAATAGACAAATTGTTATGAGACATTTGCCGGTAATGAGTGTTAAATGATGTATTTTTTGGGAAACAGAACCTTGGATTATGTATATTCCTTAACACTTGCATGTTTGGCTTCCTGCCCCTTAAATTATATTATTTCAGGAAGTTGCATTGGAAAGATCCTACAACGTTTATTGATATGCAAGATATGTATTGGGGAGAAATTGAAGTTAAGAGATGATAATGAATTATTAAAGTAGAAATCACAGTTGTGCCAAATGAATAGTTGTAATAGGATCCTAGATTTCTTTTAGAAAAATTTAATTTTAATTTCTTTTGGTGGCGAAATCACTACCACAGCATAAATAATATGTGCAGCCAGGACTAGGAGGTTGAAGCGTGTTTCCCACACTAAATGTCAGCGAGTAGGTGTAGTAAGTACCATGATTGCTCTTTTTCCCATTTAATTGTGAAGAGGAATAGGAGTACACAGCCATCGGTTTTCTTTCAGTAAAATGGAAAGTGGCCTTCCCATGCTTAACTGTCTGTTGCAACACACTTTAAGGAGTCTATGTTTGTCTTCAGACTCTTCTTGTAGCTCTTCGTCTTCCAGGTGGGTTTACGCCATCTTCTGGAGGATCCTCCCTAGAAACTTTCCTCCTCCCAAGTAAGAAAACTAAAAACTCAAGTGCCCAAGTAAGGAAGTGATGGATGAGTCGTATTCTAATTCGTGAGATATTTTTCCGCACATGTTTTGCTTTACTGCAGGTGGGAATTCGGTGGGAGTGTTCTTGATCGCTCTAAAGGAAACAAGAGGAACTGGTATGTATGGTGGACAAAGATGAAAATTCTGTTAGAATTCTTGGCTGCTTATGGAGTTCATGGGTTGACTTTATGTCAGGATTCTCGTTTGGGAAGATGGGTTTTGTGATTTCCATGAATGTGAAAGAGCAGGGGGTGGATGTATTACAGGGAGGTTTGGCGTTGATCTCTTCTTCAAAATGTCCCATGAGGTTTACAGTTATGGAGAAGGGTGAGAGAATTCACACATTCATTCACTCTTTTTTTTTTTTTTTTCATACGGTTCTAAAATATGTTAGTTGAAGTGAAGATGTTGGATACGTTCATCAGAGAATTTGTATGTCCCTGGTTACAGATTAGTGGGAAAAGTTGGAGCAGATAATGGTCATAAATGGGTGTTCAGAGATAACGCAACTGAAAGTGATCCGAACCTCATCTCCTCGTGGAACTCATCCATTGAGCCTGTAAGAGAACTTTTTCCAATTTGTATGTCAGTTAAATTCTACGGGTACCAGTTTTCTTGACGTTTCCACTTTTATTCATGTGCAGCAACCTCGAGCATGGGAATCTCAATTTAAATCAGGCATTCAGGTTACTATTCTACAAACTTAGCTTGCCATAAGTAAAACACTGCAGTATAAATGATCATGTCCAGCTTATCAGAGATACTTATTTTTGTAGACAATTGCAGTCATTGCTGTACGAGAAGGAGTAGTTCAACTGGGCTCTTTTGATAAGGTTTTGCTTTACTTTTTCTTCTCTCAGGTAGCTTTTGCCGCAGCTACACGGATTGATGGCTTCTTTTTTCTCTCAGGTTGCGGAAGATCTCAATTTAGTCATTAGTGTACAGAGGAAATTCAGCTATCTGCACAGCATGCCAGGTATCTTTGCGGTACAAAGACCTTACCTTCCTAGCCAACATCCATACGTTTTAAAGTCAGATGTCCACATGATCGAAAACCAATCAACTGGGTTAAAAAGACTGTTCAGCTCAATGCTTGATGAATCTCYTATCAAATCCATCAACTTAGGCTGGAACACCCCTCAACATCCCTTGGCTTCTGGGTCGCTATTGTGGCCAATCCCACCTCTTCTTCCTTCCACTCCATGCAGTAGTCTTGGAACTTTTAAATCAAAGTTGCCTTCTAATACCACTACCCCACCTTGTGAAGCCAACGACCCACCCGACGTTGTTCTAAACATCAGCCACCAGAACCCAAATATGATGAAGGCTAGCAGCTCAGAAGCAAAGATTGAAACCTCCAACCAGTTAGATCCAGCTCAAGAAACAGAAGAGAAACCAAGCTGCATAAACCCTGGTCTGGGTTTTGAAGATGGGATGGTGACAGAATTGGAATTCAGGCTTGGAGAGACAAGCCAGAATGGTATAAATCTCAATTAATTAGGAAAACTACCCTTGCATTAATTGTCATAAAAAGGATGACTTTGGTACTTGCATGGATTCGGCCCAARTTGTAAAATCACTTGTTCGAGTCTTAGGCAATAAAAAGTATCTAGGTACTAAAGTAGTTTAATTAATAAAAAAGAGATGTCTTTTTATCTTTCATCTGTGTCTCTCTAGTTATTAGCAAATGGCTGAGCCGTAGTACTTGATATTGAGAGCAGAATGAATTGGGATTGTGGCATTGGTTTGTTTCTCTGCATTATTTGGAGTGTTAAAGAGTTAAGAGTAGTTATTTGGGGATCAAGGTGAATATATGTGATAGTGATGATAAAAGGATCCGTCCACTCATTGAGGGCAGCGTGGGGTTCCACTCCGGTGGTCTATCCCAATCCTTTCTGCAGGTAGTAGTAGTGCACCACAGGCAATGGTCCCCGGAAACAAATTGAAGGAGAGAAACATGACAAGAGAGTGTTAGAATTTGGATCAAGTTGTCTTTGACATATGAATACCATCACCCGACACAATGGATGGTCCCAGCTTCTTTAAGTTTTTATTTTTTCATTTCTTTCTTTAGGGGGCTATGATATGAATACGAGTTGTTTGTGGGGCTGCTTCTGATTCAATTGAAAGCTGATGATAAGTCCCATTTTCTTTGCTAAGATCTTTGGAAAATGATTTCCTCTCACTAATGTCTTGTGAGAATTATTTAGGTGCTACTTTTGTTGCCTGAGACTCAGATATTTTAGTGTTGGAATGATTGTATGATGTGCAGTAGAGAGAGTTTTGACGCACTCTTATTTGGTTTCTCTTTTGATAGCAAGTTTTTTACTTAGAAGGAAGACTCTTGATCCAATGTCTACTTGGTTGATTTGATTGACAAACTTTTTAATTATTTCCTTATAAATAATTTATTTCCTTATATAATTTGGTCAATTTAATTGCAGTGATTAAAGTGTTGCAATAGTTACATGTTTTTTCGGTAAGAGTGAATTAAAGTAATCACTTGTCCCTTTTATCACTGGTTTTGTGATTTTTTTCTGAAAAAGATTTTGTGGATATTGTATTTCATAATTGAAATTTCATTAGTTTTCTTGATCAGTTTCCTTTTTAAAATGGGTTCGTTTCCATCCTTTCTTAATTACCATTTTTTGTTATCGTTCTTCTAGTACAACATGTAGATATAAAAATTTGAACATAGTTATTTTCGTTGGAAATATATTCTTTAACCAATTAATCTAGGTTTTTTTTTTTTGGTTTTTCAAAGTCTTCCCGAGGTCCATCCTTTTTTTCCTCTCCTGGAAAAAGTTGCTCTAAATCCAAAGTTTTAATTGTTTTAATATATTGTTTAACAAATCTCTCTCATCACTTGAAGGAAGAAAATTATAATATATAATCTTGAGATACAGATGGCTCTTGAACTGGTCAAACAATAATTTAAGAAATTTAATAAGAATTAATTGAGGATGTTTTAGATTTTCTCAAAAAACAAAAATATTGAAGATGCTTTAGAAAATGTCTGAGCTTATGTTAGAAAATGTATGAGCTTATGTAATGAAGATGAAGATGCTTTAGAAAATGTATGAGCTCGTGTGGCAGCCCAAGCACCGTTAGGGCTCCACCGCCCACCATTATTCTTCTTCCTTGAAGACAAAATTACAACTTCGCCACCACCATTATTCTACAACATTTTTTTCATCTTATAAAACATTCAAAGTTTTCAACAGCATATACCCATATGTCCTAAATCTGTTTTTCAGAGATTACGACCATCCATCCTCTACCAAACAGAGCATTCTAATTGTTGCAGCTGAAGACAGAGATTTAGAAGGTAGAAACAGTTTAAATACCATTGAAATGATACAGCAGATCATAATTAACAAGGCCACAATTGGCCTGCATTTTACTCAGAGACAAAGTGCTAATATAACTTGACAACAATCGGTGTCTCAAGTGTTCGAATTCGAATTATGTCCTATATACAGTCATTGTCTGATAAATTTAAACGACCATTAAACTTAAATGTGTGAGACTTGGAGAGTATTGATCCAACAGTAACGAATCTGTCTTTTCAGCCTTGGGTTGAATCTCAACCCTCCACCAAGCTGCAACCTTTTTAAGCACTGCTCTTTCCAACACTTGCGTCTCCAAATGCCCACGATGGTTTAGCTGCAGCTGCAGTGCGCCTCATCGCCTTCACTCCAAAAGGATCGTTCTTGCCCTGCACAACAAAATGATACAAGTTGAGACATTATTCACCACTGGCACTGACAAAAATGGAAATTGGAGCAGCCACATACCCTCAAGCAGGTTCCAGCGCGGACGTTACAGATGGGGTAGTCATGGGGGCAGCAGCTGTAATGGTCATCACAGCAGGTAGCGCTTTCGAGTGGGCAGCATCCCCATTCAACGCACAAGTTTGAGAACTCGAAGATGCAGCAGCAAGTTTCAGAGGCGGGACAGGAGTAATATTCATCGCATACAGATGGAGGTTTCACCGGACTTGGAGGGGTTGGGCCTGGATTTGGTGGGTTTGGTCCATTTTTAATGGGGTAAGAGGGTTCCATTGCAATCCCACAGAGACCATTTTTGGAAGGGACGTTGCGTTGCATCCTTATGTAGCCTTTCTCACCCCAGCTCTTTCCCCATGAGTTCCTCACAATCCAATAATCGACGCCCCCTTCCGACCCATATCCAACCACATTAACACCGTGGTCCAAGGCTGTTCCACACCTTCCAGTGAATATACCCTAAACAAATAGGCATACAAATCAGACCCTTTGAAAAGAGTATAATAAAGCATTCAAAGAGATTGAAGTTTTACCGATTCATATAGCTGGTAACTTCTCCCACCTCCTTCAATTGCAACAGCCACAACCTGATTAGCTACTGCTTTTTGCAGTGCTTTCTCATTGTTTACAGGGACGTCTTCATAATCATCAATCGAAACAACCTTGGCATTTTTCTGGAGAAGATAGACACCAAGATGATCAGATATCAAAAACATGCTTGTGGTACCCAATAAGGAAAATGATAGTGGAAAGTAATGGAGACCTTATATTGGATGCAGGAGCTATCAAAGCCGTTGTAAGGATAATCTTCTTCAGTGTCAATGCCGCCGTTGTTGATGATGAATTCGAAGGCATAGTCCATTAGGCCTCCATTGCAACCTTCGTTATAAGAATTGTCGCAATCCACCAGCTCCTGTTCTGATAATGATATCAAGTCTCCTGTAACAATCTGGTTTATGCCTTCCACGGCAGCTATTGTTGAGAAAGCCCAGCAACTCCCTTCATATCAGATTCAACAATTAGCATATTTGAAGTGACCATATTTCGTCAAGAGTATGATTTATATAATAATACTAGTAATTACAATAATAAAAATGGGTTTTCCCTGTCCAAATGTAATTACTTAGTCAAAAGGAAAGAAGCCGAACAGGCCCAATATCCCACACCTTGTCGCATGGGCAATGGCATTACAAAAATATCTACACACAAGTATGTGTTTCTCAATCCCAACACGCTATGTCTAAATATACACTGCCCATCTAATTGGAACTCTTAAATGTTCTATTAAGAGAAGAAGAAAAGTCTTCCTACCGAGAATAAATTTGAGTTAGAAGCTTTCAAAAGTGTTACATCTAATACTTTTACAATTTTCTAAAATCTATTGCATATCATTCTAAATTTCATTTACAATGATATGGAGGTGATTTTAAAAAGTGGTAAAAATGATTTTGACTGTTCCAAATATATTCAAAATCTTCTTATATTAATTTGGATTAAACAGAATTAGTCTAAAGTTGTTGTTACAATTTTACTTAATACGAAGTTATTCCAGACTCTCTTTGAACAGTTCCTTTACTATTCTTTTGAAAAGTTCTATGTCAAAACTAATAATTTGATTTAAAGTCTTAAAGTTATATTTTATATACAATAAAAGTCGAGTTAAAATATTATAAAGATTAGAAATTGAAATTGCCGACTCTGGTTAGAACTCTAACAAATATATATATATATATATATATATATATATATATATATAAAGAATATAACCTTGAATTACTATTTTGATGTGAAAATAACTAAATAGATGGATAAAAAGCATCACCTTGATACGATATTTTTAATTTAACTTAGTATGATAGTTTGGATGAGTGTAATCAACCTCCTGAGGCGACGACAATAGCCCAGTCTCAAAAATTACACACAATAATCATATCACGCAAAAGTAGTTGCTGCTATTGAAATGATTAAAGATGTCTATATGATTAAGATGAAGGATTTTAAAAAACAATTGTGTAGTGATAACTAATATTTATAACAATCTAAGTAATCTTTTGTTCTTTAGATTAGATTACAAGTTTTACTCTTCAACTTCAAGAGCAATTTTTAATAAGTCATTTAAAAAATGTTAAAAAATTTCTAAACTTGTTGATGAAAAGTGTCTAAATTGTTAGAAAGATCAATTCTGTGTCTAACAAAACCTAAAACATATTAAATAGAAAATTAAAAATGAGAGATTTATTAGATACAAAACTAAAAATTCAAAAATTTATTAAATACAATCTCAATATTTAGAACCAAACTTATAATGTAACCTAATATCCAGTACCTATCAATAGCATATAATAAAAACATATTAATTATCATCAGTATCAAGTTCAACCAGTAAATAAAAAATAGTACAAATAATTTATTTTTATAAACATAGATATTTATAAATATTTGAAAAAATAAAAGTGCCCACTGCCCATTCAAATATGAAATATCTCATGATTAAAGCGTAGAGGGACCAAAGAGTCACTTGGCGGGGCCAGCGCCAGTAGAAGATAAGGAAGCCAATAAAGCGCTTCGCTGAAACGGATTTTACTGAAAGCACCCCGAAAGGATAATCCCCTCATTCTCCAAAATTGTTCTCTTACAGGTTACTCAAATTTTCAATTCCAATTTACATAGTCTTTTTTTTTTTTTAAATATTATAGTGGGAGTCTGAACAAACACCTTAATTATTTCAGTTACGATCAGATAAATTATATAGTTAAATAAATGTAAATATATCTTATTACAAGTATTTACATAAATTGCAAGCAAAAGATTGAATATTTATAAATAATTAATGGCACAATTCAAATCAAATGTGTAATGCTATTTAGAAAAAAAATGAAAATTTGTGATATTTTAAAAATACAAATTTAATTAATATGCGAAGTTCTCATTACTATTATTGCCTTATTGGGCAAATTCGATTTTCTCAAAAATTGAACAATATTATTGTAATTGTAACAACCCGTCATAAACAAAAAGTGCCCAGACTCTCTCTCTTTAGAACAACCCATATTCTTCCCAATAATTGGTTAAATAGTTGCATATTTCTAAAGTATCTTTTATAGTAAAGGGAAAAAGGAAGTAATTACAAGTTCTAGCAAAGATGAAATCCAAGTTAATCGATCCCTCTTACAATGATGGATCATCGATCCACCTTTTGAAAACCATCATACCATTTGATGAGTGATCAATTGAGGAGAAATAAACTATTACTAATTGAAACCAAATAATTATAATCAATCGCAATTTGTACTAATTTATATCATTTAAATAATATTTTAACTGAAAAAAAAAAAGTATTTATGGGTGCCAGTGCCAACGGAAAGAAAAATTAGTAAAAAGAGTATAAAAAAGGACAGAGAGTTCAGAGTAAAATTAGTAAAGGACTTACCACAACTTCCCTGGTCTTTGACCCCAACGACCGCTCCTTTCTCCCTCCAATCGATGGAATCCGGCAGATTATCCCCAAGGCGAGGGTGATAGCGGCTGCTCGTCTTGTTCCGCCGTGAACCGGCGGCGCGTTTGGGTCCCAGGTACTTGGATCGGTACTCGTCGTTGGTCAGATCTGCGAAGACGTTCAGACCTAATCGGTAGGGCAAATTTTGGGAGTTGATTTCGTCGATGTACTTGAGATTGTCCTTGAAAATCTCGAATCGATTCTCCCGCTCTGCTCCCAGGCCGTTGTGCTGCTTTCCGTGCTTGGCACACCACTCCCGGTACAGCGCCATCACCTCCTCGTCCGTCCTGCCGGAGATGATCGAATAGTCCATCGCCGATGATAGAGTTATCGCGATGAAGAAGAGAAGAAGCATGATCGGGGAGGATCGGTAGGGCCCCATCTTCGCTATTTTCGCCTCTGTTTGTTGTTTCAGTAGGATGAAAGTGCAGAAGAAAGTGGAAGAGGGGGCGACTTTATATACACAAATTAATGCTCAACGATACATTAGAAAAAAAATGAGAGAAAATGAAATAAATAAAAGGAGTAGATAGGAAAAAGTGGGCGAATGCGACGAGGACAATTGGGTACCTAGCCACGGAAGCTGGAGTTCGGGTCAAACCCGGCCCGTTTTGTAGATATTTACAATTTACACCAAAAATGCCCTTTGTTTTTGGGACACTGACGAGTTATAAGTTATAGGGTTAATTTAGTCGTTATGATTAACAGGCTGGACAAAGGACAGGGAACTCTCTCATCGGTGGGGTGGATTCTGAAGATCAAACTCTGTAGATTTGTTTAAATTTACAACGTGGGAAAATGTCCCGTGGTCCGTGGATGGTGGGTCGTCTTCTTAAAAAAATATCGTCAGTCTTGTGTTATTTGTAGAAAGCCTTGCTCGTTAAGAAAATGTCGCAGCGGGACCAACGGTGTGGATAATGTTTTTTTTTTTAATTTTAAAAATTAATTTTTAGGATATGTGACGATTTATAATGTTTACTATATTTTATAGATGATTATTTATAACGATTTAGGATTTTTTTCTCACTTACAACAAAAATAACTCTTCTGTATTCACACAACAATATAATATTTATATATTTTGAGTCTAAACTATCGAGTGGTTACATTTTTTAAAGATTTGTTATGATCCTACATCATTATTCATCTTGAATTTGGAAAAAAATAGTTATGGACTTTATGGGGAGTGAATGATTTCTTCTCTCTAGCTATGTAGATATGGTTAACTCCACTGATAAATCTATTTGGAGTTCTTTCCAAAATAATAAGAACTTCGAATAATTTTGTAATTTTCACAAACTTATAATGATAYAATGTTAATCACTTTTAGCATAAAATTATTGTGACTTTACTTTTAATTTGACTCCAAAAACTTCATATAAATGAAAATACTTATCCTCACTTGAATATTCATGAATTTTCCTTTGTGCAGTTGATGTGTGACCTTGTTCACACCCCAACAACTAACTCTTAAAAAAAACACTTGCAATAAGTTGCATCTTCTCGATAACAATGGAGTGCCAGCTTTTGGTAAATAGTACAGGCATGGAGTAAAGGATTGGACCACATCATTAGTAGATTTTATCAAACTCTCTACAAAAGCACATTGCCTAATATATGATAGAGCTCTATTGTGGATCACATATTTGAGTAACGAAGACACAATTTTTGTTTAGCATTCAAAGATTCCRTCAATAAGCTACTGTTGGAGCAGAATGTTAGTACCACTTAATAAAATACACTAGTATTTATATATTCCTATAATAAAATAGTGTTATTTGTTGTGAGTCCATCTCAACGAGCGATCCGATATTGTTCGCTTTTGACATAACCTCACGACTTTTACTTTCACCTAAAAAATTTCATATCAATTGAGATGTTGTCTTTCACATATATACTCACGATTTTCTCATTTTCTAACTTTGTTTTACTACTTACAAAYCTAACAAAAAAATCATGTCCTTCTTTACTTCTCACTCATGTGAGAATATTTAACGCTAAGTTTAGAGCACGACTTTAGATAAAGTACATATTTATACACTACATCAATACATTATTTATTTTATTTATTTTGAGTCCAAAACATATGTATACATTTATTTTTATTTATCTTATCCGAAGATATTGTAATTAGGAGTAAAATTACAACTTTTTCACGAGAGGCTGCACTAAACCCGAGTAGATGATTTTTTTTTTTTTTTTTTGGTATTAAATATACTATCAATTAGATATTTAATAGTGGGATTATCGATGTGTATTTATTAATTTTGAATACGAGACAAAATAATTGTAACCGGATAAATTGGATTTAACTTTTAAGGAGTCTGGGTTGGCCACGTCGTCATGCGATTGGATGGTTTGTACTGAGACGGGAAAGTCCTCAATTGCTCGTTAGTGGGGCCCACACTCTGCATTCCTATTGGTGAATGAGAATTTAGTCTCTGACGCTCTTTATTATAATTTTCTTTTAGTTTTCTCATCAATTATTTTGTCAATGTGTATTATTTTTTTCGAAGCAACAACTATTTTGTTAATGTGTATTAACTTCTTTAGTCCAGAATAGATCCTTTGCCGTTGATTTGGATTGGAGTCCGAAAAAGCAAAATATAGCTGGTCAAATATCCAGTTAGTTTGGACCGCACGATTCTCTTTTTTTTTTTTTTTTTGGTTGAATTATTGTCAAGTGGCTGCTAAAGTGACTGCAAGGCAAGTAAAATCCAGAGCAGACGAACATATCTTGTTCCCAGATAAAATATTTGTTTTCTGAGAGTGAATGGTATTGGTGGTGCAAAATTTAACTTCCAATAAAATAAAATAAATTGTTTCTAGATGATAGGTCAAGATAACCTATCAACACCACCAATATAAATTATAAAAGATTTAAGATTAGTTAGTTTGATATTGGTCAGTTAAAATTTTAATTTTGAAGAGTATGTAAATGCATGTTTATTTATTATTTAAAAAGTGATTGTAAAGTTAGGAAGTGATAAGGTAAAACTGTGGATAAGGATTGGATTACCGAGTTTTGAAAGTCAGAAGTGAAGGGCTGAAAAGGAAGAGTAAGAGAGGATTGCACGCAGACGCAACCCAAGGGGGTAAATTGGTCAGACCATGACCAAATATGTGTGTGATTAAAATAAAATGGAAAGAAAAGAAAGGGAGAGGTATACGATTGAAAAAGATGGGAGAGAGAGAGAGAGGGAGGAATGGGGATGGGGAATGGGCCTGAGGCTGAGGCCCATAAAAGATATCCAACTTGGAAACTGCGGSCACGCAATCTCTCCATCTCTGGAGTCTGGATTTTCTGCCCACTTGACGCACGTGCCGCACATGCCTGCCTTCCTTTCCGCTCCCGTCTCTGCCCAATCCACTTTTAACATTTTTTCTCTATAACAACATGGTCTTGCTCCACCTTTAATTTAGGCTATTTTTTATGGATATAACAAAATATTTCCCATATTTTAACAACTTTTTTAGTTTTGCAAATACCACGAAGTTTTTTAAATCATTTTTTTTTTCAATTTTGCATTAATACTTTTGAAAATTGATATACCTAAATATGCTTGATCTTACATAACTAATATACCAATTACTAAGTACACTCTAGGGTGGTCAAACCGAGTATAGCTCAAGTGATTAACGCACCTATCAAAAAAAGAAAAAGTAACATCAAATATATCAATAACATGCTTCATTTTAAGTATCTTAGTGATATAATTGATATTTTTTTTTTAGAAATATATAATTGATATATTCGTTGATATACTCTGACCGACATTAGGTATATCATATCATGATTTTCCTAATTTTACAAAAATTTCAAATTTAAGGCTATAATTGACTTTTTCCATTTTTTGTATAGGCTGGATCTAGATTTTTTACTATATTTGCTCGTCAGAAAATGGTTGCAATATTTTCAATTAACTAATAATTATTTACTATATTTGCGAGCTGCCATTTAATTTACCTTTATTCAACTTATTATCATTTATTCACTAATTAATATTTATCAGCTACTATCAATAATTGATGTGTTATTTTTGTAATGAGCAATTGATTAATAGAGAATTGTAAATTGTCAAAACGAGCAAAACTCAACAGTAATTGATATATACTACCAATCAACAGGTTGTGAGTTCGAATCCCCTCCTCAACGTGTTATACTAAAAAAATATATTGAAATATTAATTGTAAAAGTTCATGGTTAGAAACAGAAAGATGTTTTTTAGGAAATATTGTGGGAGTTGGCGTTTCAAAATAAAAAGTGTATGGACTAAAATATGACATATTAAATAAGGATGAAATACAAGTGTCTAACATTTAATTTGTTGAGCCCACAACTTTGAAACTTTAATTAAGAGCAAAATGCACTTCAAAATATTCATCCTAGTTTCATGATAAAGTCGTGGAGGTTCAAATGTAACCTAAAAGGGAGAAAAGTGTTTAGAGCTAAAGAACAAAAAAGGTGATGTTTCATCCCAAGCCTAGCTATTTTGAAATCTTACATCAAATGGAGAACTTCAGTTGTAACTAATTGGTTTGGGCAATGCCTAATTTCCCATGTCATATATCAGTTCAATGATTCATCAAAATGGACATGCTTTAACTACCAAATTTGCACATTCTTCTGATTTGCCAAATTTGTAGTCAATATTTGCATCTTTGGAAGTCTCTTAAATCACTAGCAAAGTTGTGGTCCATTTATTTTGGAATTGAGATAATTGTCTTCTCTTAATATATGATGGATTATGCTCTTCAAGAGCGTAGACTATCCCTACAAATCAATATGAGTCCTTTTAGGATGCTTTGTCCTCACTCACATGCTTCCTAGTAAAGCAACTAGGAGGTCACCTAGCCGAAGATTGCTCCACGTCAAGCACACTTAACTTTTGGAGTTCTTACGATTAAATTATCGAAAAGGAATGTGTACCTTTCTTGTTGGTTTTGCCATTGTAAAGTTATAAAAGCTTGGGGAATGATTCTTTTTAAGATTTGTTTGATAGAGAAAAAAAAATAATTGGATTCTTTTTTAACAACAGGAACCATGAAATAAAAATGGGGAATTTTGTATTTTTTTTAATAAATTATTTTTCTGGTCTTGATTGAGGTTATCACTTTTTTTTTTTCTCTAAACCTTATTTTTCCTTCTTTTCTAGTTTTGACGACTTTAAACTTTTTCATTGAACATAGGACTTTCTACTCGTCTTATAATAAATTTTGTCATTGCACTCAATATAATCTAAAATTTTAAATATATTCGTTATGCTTATTACCAATATTTGGTATTACATTTGAAAAAGGGTATGCTGATATATAGAGGATGGACCACCAAATTGGGCTGTTGCCTACTGGTCCCTTGGCTTTTTGAAATCTCAATTTGGATGTTGAATCTTTCTCTTTCAAAATCAAACTAATTCAATTTCAAATGTAAAGATATTTTCAAAGCATTTCTATCTCATCCTTTTAGAAATACCATTTATGGTTTTGTTCATTACTTTCCTTCTCCTCTTTTGTGAAAGTTATCATCAGACCTGACTACAATTGAAATGTAATCATCATATTAGTTCACTTAATTTTGAATGAAACTGAATGATGAAAAAAATTAAACTCTTACTTTCCT